AAGACTGCATAACAATGAAAGAGGTTTTTACTTTTCAAGAAGAGTGAATTGGTGGGGTGGGAATGGGCAGCGAGAAAAGTGCAACAATGAGTGACTGGAAACCCTAAGTCTCTGTAAACTTTCATTAAAATGAATAAAATTAAAAAAGACACAATATATGGGAATGATCATAAGAATCACAATGTAAATATTTTTAAAATTAAACTTTTTAAAAAAACGCCAACAAAACCCCCAACCTGCTTAACATCAGCTATGAATTAGTCCTGACTCAAAGATTCTGGGTAAAGCATCTGTGAAACTGAGTCTCAGGATCTGAGTTTCTGCCTTGTGGTTGGTTGGTTGCTCATGAACTTGTTTTGTGACTTTCCCTAAATCTGTATAAATTGGGTGGCCTCAGTTACCTGAATGGCCACAGTTTGGGCACCATCTTGTTTTCTCCTCTTCTTAACACACCGGCTTCACTGGTAAGACAAGCTGGATGGAATACTTGAAACACAAGCTTTATTTTACTTGTAAAGCTGTTGCTCTTGGGTGCTGCTGACTGTGACTCATAGCAACTGAATAACAGATTGAAATCTTGCCCCACGCTGCACCATTCTCACCATCTCAACTTTGCTCAAGCCCATCGCCATAGTCACTTCTCTACAAAGAAGTGATAATCACATTTACCATCTTATCATTCTTGTGCTGATTTAATGATTATGAATAGTAAAATGTTGAATGACAATGGTAAGAAATCAATGTTATTTTCATCAATATCTGAGTCTATCTGGAAACAGACCTGGAACAAAGTAAGAACATTCTTTTGAAATCTCTTGAAAGATATTGAGTCTCCTCCCTGTTGAATTTTGTCTTATTTCTATCCCTGGTTCTTGGTATATTACAAAAGAACTCAAACTCAATGCCATCAGGTCAGAAGGGACTAATAGGTGACCCTCCAGCAGGCTTTCGGAGGCAGTAAATCGCACAGGAGGGAATTGCCCATCTTTCTCCTGCAGAGTAGTTGTTAGATTAGAACTGGCAGAGAGTTGCTACCTTTAGGTTATCAGCACAACACCTCTCTAACTATCGCCAGATAGGCTCTCAAATATGCTTGTAGTTGAACAGACACTTCACCAAAGAAGACATTCAGATGGCTAACAAGCACATGAAGAAATGTTCAAAATCCCTAGCTCTAAGAGAGATGCAAATCAAAACAACTATGAGATATCATCTCACTCCAGTCAGAATAGCAAAATTTAGCAGAACAGGAAGCAACAAATGCTGTTGAGGTTGTGGAAAAACTGGAACCCTTATTCACTGTTGGTGGAAGTGTAAAATGGTGCAACCACTGTGGAAAGCTGTGTGACACTTTCTCAAAAAAAGTTGCAAATAGAGATACCATTTGACCCAGCAATTCCACTACTGGGAATATACCCCAAAGAGACCATAACTGCTGCCCAAGCAGATATATACACACCCATGTTTATTGCGGCTTTGTTCACGATAGCAAGGAGTTGGAAACAACCTAAGTGCCCATCCACAAATGAATGGATTGAGAAGCTCTGGTATATTCACACAATAGAATAGTATGTTGTATTGAATAACAAGGAACTCATGCAATATTATTCAAAATGGGTGACCCTGGGGGACATTATGTTGAGTGAAATATATCAGTCACAAAGGGAAAAATACTACATAGTGCCACTGTTGTAAAACAGGACTGACATTGGGGTTGGGGGGAGACTGAGAAAGATGGAATAAATAAGGTATATACTGCATTGAAACTGATGAGGGAGAAAACGGTTTAAAAGGGACAGGAGTCCAGAGCAAAGGCTCTATAGTGGAGTGGACCTGGAGGGAGGGATTATAAAACAATGGGGGAACTTTTATTTCTCAAAGAGAAGAGTGTAGGGGGGGGTAGAGGTGGGCAGGGAGAAAAGTGCAACAATGAATGAATGTCTTGGTAAATTTTCATTAAAATTAATAAAAAATGATAAAAAAATAAAAAGTTGTGTGTACAACATAAATGGATAATCCAAACCAACCCACTAGATTTCATTCACAGCTCATGGTGACTTTCCATCGTTGTGTAGCATCCACACATAGCTGACCCATAGCTGACTGTCCAGCAGGTTTTCAGAGGCAGTAAATCACAATGGAGATTGACCGTCCTTCTCCTGAGGAGCAACTGGTGGATTTGAACCAGTGCACCTTGGGTTTGGCAGCACACTTCTTTATATTTTTATGTAAGATTGCTTATCTTTCTCCCTCGGAGCTGCTGGTGGATTTGAACTGCCAGAGAGGCACTGCATTTGGGTTAGCTGCACATCTCCCTACTGATTGTCACCAGAGTGCTCTAAGCTTCAACGGCTCCCTAAATGGAGGTTCGAAGATATCAACCGCCCTAAACCCACTGTCGTTGACCCTGTAGGGCAGAGTAGATCTGTCCTCTTTGCTTTCCAACTTTGCAAACCCTTTTCTCTCCTGAATCAGCTGGTGGGTTGAACTTGACCTGACCCTTAGCAGTTGAGCCACTAGAGCTCCTGGGCTGGAGGATTGTCTTTTTGCACTGTCCGTCTGGGACAATCCCATAGCTGATGCCTCCAGTGGATTTTCAGAGGCAGTAAATGGTGCCGTATAGACTGCCTATCCATCTCCTGCAGAATAGCTGGTGGATTCAAACTGTGTCCCTTTGGGTGGACGGCACAGCTCCTTACCATTAGGCTACAAGAGCTCCCTGGACTGGAGGAGCATAGCGGTGGTATGTGCTATTGATTCGGAATTAAGAGCTGACCTTCAGCGTTTTCAGAGGCAGTACATTGCATGGGAGGAGATTGCGGGTCTGGGCAGCTGGTGGATTCTAACCTGTGCCTTTGGGATTGCAGCTTCTTACCAGTAGGCGGCCAGATTGGAAAACAATTCTATTTCCTGTGTTACATACAAAGTATCTCCAATTATTTTCTCTTCTAATTCAATTTACCATTAGGTGTTACTTGTTTAAGATTTATCACCCGCTTTGGGTGGAAAGCCCCTAGTTACAACTTTGTATGCAGTATTGTCTCACTCCTTAATGGGCTCTCCAATTCATGCAGCTCTATCTGTTAAGTGGTGTACAGATCCTTGTTTTGAGCCAGAAGCCACAGTCATTTATGGCAGGAAATGTGTGTTGGCCCTTTCAGCTCCTTTAAGAGGCTGGGTACACCTGGATAAGCTTTCCTTGATGACTTGAAAGGTCTTGTTCTCATTCTTTCTGAAGTTAAGTTACTTTGAAGTTTCCTAGTCCAAGGCCAGAACCGTGACTCCTCCTTTGTACCTGCTAAGGTCACAAATAGGCTGAACAGCGCCGTTTATCTAGCCTGTGATCAGCCTCAGGTCCCCCTGCCCCACTGGCGCCCCTTCCAAGGCAATTGAACCCTAGCTGGCCAGGGCTTTTTGACTACCCCACGGACTGATTCATTCCTGAGCAGCTCTGGTGCTATTTAGCTGGAACCTGGGAGAAGAACTAAAACTTGGATATAGTCGCCTCTACCCCTTGCCTTGTCCACTCGTCAAACATAAAAATCTGGGATTTGTTGGGAAGAAAAACAATAAGGCAAAGTGAAGAAGCAAGACTGCCCGTGTAGCCCTGCTGGCCTTGTCCCTGCCCGGGTTCGGAGCGCCCGCCTCTTCAGCTCGCGGGGCCGTCCGAGGCTCGGCCCCTTCCGCCCCGCGCCCAATGCCAGGCGCTGCCCCTTCTCCGAGTGCTGGTCCGCAACCACTTTGGCCGCCGCTCGGTCCAGAGGGTTGTCCAGGGGGCTGTCGCCGCGTCAGGGCCGGGCCTGGAGATTCCCAGGGCGCAGCTCCAGCAGCCGTGCGCGCGCGCGCCAGGGCCGCATTCCAGCCCCAAGAGTAAAGCGGAGAATCAAAAGAGGAAGCGTGAAGCCCTGGCGGGCGCAGGAGACGCAGGAAAAGCCTGGCGGGCAGGCGCGCGTCCGGAGCGCTTGGAGCAAAGGGGCCGGCGCACTGCACGCTGTTGCGGCCGCGCTCGGGCCGCCCCTCCCCGCAGGCCGGCCGCGGCCTAGGCTCCCCCGTTCTCCACGCCCCGCCTCCCTGGGCTCCCTCCCCGCCTCCCGCTCCTCCTCCCGCCTCCCTCGTCCCCTCCTCCCCTCCCGGCCTCCCTCTCCCTCCGCCCCACTGAGAGCCGGACCCAGGCCGCCTCCCGACGCCTCGCCGCCCTCCCGCCCGCGTTCCACCATGGACAGTCTTGTTTTCACCTTATAAAGATGGCGGTGCGGGATCGCTGCAACCTTTAGACTAATGACTGTCCGAAACATCGCCTCCATCTGTAATATGGTGAGTGGCCGCCTCCTCGGTGGTGGTCGTGCCCGAGGCGCGAGAAGGCAAAGAAAGGGAAACGCGAGCCTCACAAGCGCGCGGCTGCAGCGGTGGGGTGCGGTGGGCTGGGGGACGAGGGGGCGCGGGGTTGGTCCTCGCTGAGCCCGGGAGAGAAGTTCCCGGCCCCGGGGTTGGGCGGGTGGCCGCAGCCCCAGCGGTGGCCGTGGGAGGGTTCAGAGCCCCCTGCTCCCCTTCTCAAACCCGGGACCTCGAGCCTGCTGGCGCAGTGGACCCCCACCCCCCACCCCAGGTTGCAGTGGAAGCGGTTTGAGAGGCTGGAGAGGGGGCGGTGTGGCCCGGACGTCCCACGGGAGGGGGCTGGGGCATAACCTGGGGGGTGTGCCGTGGGTGATGGGGGGCACCCTTCCTAACCTTGTATTCTGTGACTCCCTATCGGAGCCCTTGACCACTCCATCGCGTTCTGAGTGCCGGCATTGGATGGTATTTGACATTCTCTTTGCAGCGGCATCCAGTGTATCCGGAGAAATTTGAAATGTGCTAAAGCTATTTATTTCTTTTTCTTTAAAAAGTGCAACATTGCGGTTGGGGAAGTGAACTTTAACCTGGTTCGGGAAAGCCCGCTGATTTCGTCCCGGCTGCCTCAGTTTCCCATTGGTGGTAGTGAGAGCAGGACAAGGTTATGTGTGTGACAGCAGTATTTGGAGGCCTTCGAGGTGGGGGGGGGTGGTGGCAGTGGGCGTGGAGGCTGTCCCAGGGGCCCCGTTCTCGCTGCCTTGCCTACCCAGTGGAAGCTGGTGGGCGTGGAAGCAGCCAGGGGGGACATCGCTCTGGCTCTGTTGGGGTCAGGGTCTGTGGCGAGGTGGCCACACTAAATTGTGTTTCTTCCATTACTTTCCCTTCCTCTTCATTCCTGCAGGACTATCGTTCTACCCGTGGGGCCCAAGGGTGCGCTCTGCAGGCGCCACTTGTGGATACTTGTTGGGTGTGGGGTTGGCCCCTTGGAGAATGACAAACATTGCCTTCCTGTGTGTGTGTCTTGGAGGATGTGTGCTTTGCCTCCTCTTCCAAGGCTGCCCTCTAACTGTGACCCCAGCCCCTCCTCTACCTCAGACATGCCTTTTTTTAGTTTTTAAAAACTGTAGCTCACAGATAACAAAACGTCTCCTCGTTCAGCTTTTGTCACCTCCACAGTTCAGTGACATTAAATAGGTTCTTTGGGTTATTCAGCCATCACTATTAATCGTTCCGCAGTTTCTCTGTCACCCTTAACAGAAGCTCAGTGTCCCCTGAGACTGGTGCTGTTTGGAGTCCAGTTTTAGGAAAACCTCCCTTGAAGCTAGTAATTCCACCCTGGGCTGGGAATCTGAGGAACTTGGCAGGGAAGCCTTGGGGTAAGGTGAGCTGGCTGCCCTTCCCCCATCACAGGCTTTTAAGTCTTCTGTTCCACATTCTGTTACAAGATCAACACATGGCAAAGGAGCATCCAGGAAGCATGTGTGAGCTCCCTGGCTTCAATTTTCAGCCTCGTTGGATGTAGCCACTACTGGGGGCCAACAGAGCACAGCCTGGGTCTTGTCTCAGTGGTAACCGCAAAGGCTCAGGTAGAGTTAGATATGGTGGGTGGCTTCTGGAAAGTTCCCGTCTCCTCTCCCTTCCTTTCTCCTTCGTGCGGGGACAGGTCCTGCTCCTTCTGGTGGCATTAATGTTCCTTACTGCAGTGAAAAGGTGATGACTTTCTGCCACTCCTCCCCTGAGGGGACCCCTGAAACCAGAGCGGGCTTGTCTTCTCTGTCACCCTGCTAGGGTGGCCTTGAGGCTACAGATAGGCCAGGTCCCCTTGGTGTAATTACACCTCTCTGTTACTGAAGCAGGATGGAAACTTGAAAGCCACATTTCAAGAGGAAGCCAGTCAGGACTTCTTGGCACATCTGAGCAAAATGTCACAACCCGTTTTTAGTAAAACTCCAGGTCTGAACCTTCAGCCAGGGAAGACAGAAGGTGAGAACTGGCCAGTAGTGCTATAGGCTTGGCATTTATCCAGAGAGTTGCCATCTAACATTCATTCACTGCCATCAGGTCAGAAATAACGCAAAGCTGACCCAGTGGGTTGTCAGAGGCTGTAAATCACATGGGGAGATTGCCCATCATTCTCCTCCAGAGCACCTGGTGGATTCGAACAGCCTGCTTTTGAGTTGGCAGTGCAACTTGCCTTACCCTCTAGGCAACCAGTATTCCCTGCCACCTAATAATAGAACACTTCTCAAGGTTCTATAGTTCATTGGCATTATTGCACAGGCAACATGTTTTGCCAGCAGTCCTGAAGGAGGGAGTTTTCTGGTCCAGTTTGGATACTGTCGTGAGCTCGAGATGAACAGTTTGGGTTCTGAAGTCTGCTCACCTGGCCTCAAGCCCTGGTCCTGCTTGTGTTAGCTCTGTGTTCTTTGGGCAGATTATTCTTTGGTCCCTTTACCTCTGAAATCATGGCGGTGATCTTATCAGGCTGCTGTAAGTAGAAATGAGTTCTTGAGGTAGAGCGGCCCAGTAGAGAGCAGGTGCTCCGCCAGCGTTAGCTGTTAATTGGCCGCATCATCTTCCTCATTGTTACCTCACCTTCCAGTCAGGTAAGGGAGAGTGGAGCTAGTCCTGTCCACCACCCACATGAGCATTTATGCAAACCAAGCTGAGTGACAGGATAAACAAAGGGCTCTAACCCCACCCCTCACTCTAGCTGCTCAGGTCACACTCCTCCCAGTCTTTTCTCAGAGGAGAAGGCTTGGTGATGAGAAGGTTGGCTTTCCACCTGGCCACCCGGGAATCTTCCCTGGGCCCCTCTGTAGGGTCTTCACTCAAGGATGAATTGCTTCCAGGTAGGTCTTTCGTGAGCCATTTTTCCCAGTTAAAGAAGTTCTTCCTCCTCACTCCTTTGGTTCTAGCTGGTTTGAGTTATGTAGGAAGAATAAGTGAGGATTGTTTATTTTTTTTTAAAAAACAATTATTTAAAGCAAGTTATTTGACATGTTGGCATGCATCTAGGAAGGGGGTTAAAAAATTCCATCTCTGGGTAAGACCATTTGAAAGTGAACTTGGTCTGCCCAGCAGACTAGGAAAGACCCAGGCCAATCGACACAAGCATTTGTAGTGAATCTTTCCATGGAGCTGAAAAATAAACACCTTCTCTTTCCCCCACTTTGTCTCTCTGGTCACAGGTCAGGTATAGGGTTCTTGGCAGTTGTCCACATCATCCCCTGTCTTTCCTTCCCTGTGGAAATTTTCTTGTCTTCTGGAAGATTGATCATAGTTCCTGTTTATTTTACTTTTTGTTCCATGCCAATTCCTGCCCTTGGACTTTTTGATGAGCCTACTTAGGGCATGTCAGCTTGCCCACAAGGCAACGCCGAGCTCGACGATAGTAAAGCTTGTTTGGCTGGTGTGTTGAAATGTACAGAATACTCTGGCTGCTACCAAGCATGAGAAAGTAGCCCTTGTTGATAATCTTGATTTTTGTACAGACCAGCGGATTTCACTTCCTACCTATTTTTATCGCCCTACTAGTGGAAGGCTTTTAAAAAAAAAAAATTTAAGTTTTCCATCTTAAAGAGCATGAGGCATTTTCAAGAGAAAACATTTGTTAGGAGGAAGCAAATGCACTTTGTTGAAATGTGACTTAGGCCTTTGCAAGTTGGTCTGAATCATCTGATCTTCATTTCACTTGTTAATGAGTCTGTATGATGAACCTCAGATGAGGGGCTGCATAGCAAATAGACTACAGATTTTCTACCTTCTACTGGTGGCTTTTGTTTTCTGTGAGCTCATGATTATAGGCAGTGCCGTTTGGAATTGGAAGCTGTAGCCCTGGGAGTCTTTCAGCTGCACACTGTGGTGCCCTTGGGCAAATCATTCTCTGGCTTAGGGCCTTAGTTTTCCTCAGGACCCCTGGGTGGCACTAAAGATCAATGTGGCTAACCAAACAGTAGGAAGTTCGAGCCCACCCAAAAGTACTTTTGAAACGAGGACTCATGATGTGCTTCAGAAAACCCAGCTTTGAAAGAATCTTGTGGATTATGGTTATACTGTGACACATGGTTTTAGCATGAGTCAGAATTGAGTCTAAAGAAACTGGCGTTTGTTTTCCTTGTTTTTCCTCAGATAGTAAGACTGATAATTTAAAAATTTTTGTCATGATTGGTAAGGAGTGTTTTTTAGACAAAGCGTTTAGAAAATTCATCTTAATTGGTTAACTGCCACTTTTGCATGCTTAACTATCTGGTGGGAAACTCTGTCTGTCATGTTTCCCAGATATTAATATTCCAGCATGCATTGAATGGCCCCAGGGCATGATTTGATACCAGTTGAGTGCCAGATATGAAATATTTTAATGAAATAAAAATATTAAACATTTTTTTTCATGTAAGTGTTCAACATTTGAAGCAAAACAAGTAAGTTTTTAGAGAGGTAATTTCATCTAGTTAACTCCTGACCTGAAGGGCACTTATTTGAAAACTCTCAGACCAAACCCACTGAGTTTATTTCAACTCATGACAACCGTTATTGAATTTTCCGAGTTTGTAAATCTGTATAGGACGGGGCCATCCGTCTTTCGCCCACAGAGCAATTGGTAATTTAGAAACACAACCTTTGAGTCAGCAGCCCAATACGTAACCCGTTATAGCCCCAGGGCCCTTATTTTGAGAATAGTTGGAAAATAAGTCATTGAACAATGTGCAAATATCGTAATTTGGGTAAAGAGGCAATATACCTCTTAAGCTACTATATTTTCATGAGAAATCACACATCTTCCTCTGTTTAACAATGCATTCATTCTGTTATCATTGTTAACACTTTCCTGTAGACCAAAATACACCCCCGCTCCCCAGAAAGAGCCCCGGGATGGAGCCGTTGAGGGTTTTGAAAATGGCCCCAGAACGTGAATGATCTCGAGCCATTAGAGGACAGGAAGATGTTTGGACCTTGGAATGGCACATCAGAATGTTTAAAAT